AATCAATGGAAAAAATATCCTTGAATAAGAATTAACAACAAAAAGAACCTAGTCAAAATGATTCCAGTGACATCAGAATATATTAATGTCCATGTGTTTGTTTTAAAAATATATTGATCTGAAGTGTCAAATGTTTGCAGTCAAATAAGAAGGGGCAAATCACCATCTAGTGGCACACACCTCAATTGCCACCTGGAAAACCACTCCACTCCCAGGACTTTAACAGGAATTTTAGCAGCCTCTGACTTCAAGCCTATGTTATTATAATGCAAGTAATAAAACACCACTTAATTAATGTTTACCATTTGCAATCCACTGTTCTCATTAAACGTTACAAGTCACTTAATCCTCACAGCAACAGTGGAAGAAAGGAGCTATGACCACTACTTACAGAAAACTGAAGAGTTAAGTCACAGGATTCAAAATGCATGACTTTGACTCTATCGCCTGCCTGTCCTACAGAACTTCCACTAGATCTCCATTTCAACTTTCAAGCCTTTAGCTCAGTGGTTCTCAACCTTCCTAATGCCGCGACCCTTTAATAATGTTCCTCATGTTGTGGTGACCCTCAACCATAAAATTATTTTTGTTGCTACTGATATGTAATTTTGCTACTGTTATGAATCATAATGTAAATATCTGATATGCAGGATGTATTTTCATTGTTACAAATTGAACATAATTAAAGCATAGTGATTAATCACAAAAACAATATGTAATTATATATGTTTTCCAATGGCTTTAGGTGACCCCTGTGAAAGGGTCGTTCGACCCCCAAAGGGGTCGCGACCCACAGGTTGAGAACCGCTGCTTTAGCTCTTTGTCCTCTTCCTAGAGTTTATCAGTCCCTTCCTGGTACCACTTACGCTTTAGCCATCATGCACCCTATGTATCTTTTTTGTTTGTTTTGTTTTATTTGTTTTCTTTTTTATTTTGTTTTCCACCCCATGGATCTTACTCCTGGCTACATATTAGAATCACCTGGGAAACTTTAAACTATCCCAACGTCCATGCCACATCCCAGACCAATTAAATCACTGAGGTGCTGGAATCTGATTTTATTGTGTAACCAAGGTTAAGAATGATTCACAAACCAGTCCCTTAATGATACTCCCAACCCAATCCATCTTTCTTCTCTACTGGAATTTTTCTGGACCCAATTGGTAACTGTGCTGATTTGTTCTAAGTTCACATCCTCAACTTGATCAGCATGGCTCAGCAACCTGCTCAATGCAACCAACATGTACTAGGCATCTGCTCTGGGCTGGGCCCTGGGCTAAGGCACAGATACTGTCCCTACTTTGGATAAGTTCATGGTCTTTGGGTGAATACTTCCTGCTCTTGATTGAAGAGTTTCTAAACAAAGGATTTCACAGATTTAAAAAGAGGAGATGAGGGTTGTGATGAGATGGGTATTCCAGGCATAGAGAAAAATATGTGCAAATCTTTTACTCATCCCTGCTCCAGTGTGTCTCGGGCTGTTCTCTAAAAGAGCAGCATCAGCAATATCTGGGGGCTTGTTATAAATGCAAATTCTTGGATCCTACTCCACTCCTATGGAATCAGAACTGTGGGCGGGATCATCTCAAGGTGATTCTAGAGTTTGCTAAAGTTTGAGAAGCACTCTCTCAAATACCAAAATCGTTTCTTTACTCACTCTTAGAAAATGACCACCCTAAAAGAGAAGCCATCCGATTCAAACTCCCCTGAAAAAACTTTTTTTTTTCCAGAGGTAACATTACCCCAACTTTTTCTTCTATCTCCTTTGCTGCCAATCACTCCCTGGCTCTCTACTGACGTGCCACCAACTCTAAAAGAAAGAACTCAATTGTATTAAAGATTGCCAGTGATTTATCTGCCAGTTGTAGTGACTTTTCTATATTTTTATTTACTTTTGCCTCGTTGGTAAGTGTGCTATTCTTGAAATTCTTCTATCCCTTAGTGTCTAGGAACTGTGTTTTTTGACTCCTGGTCCTTTTCTATTTTTCCAGGTAATTTCTTTTTGTATGTACATGATAAAAATTAAATAATACAGTACATAATAAAAATTCAATGCTTTCACTCCCTAGAGACACACTGAACTTTTTTTAATTCTACAGATATAAGCTAAATGTTGTTATGCTGATAAGCCATTTTTGAAATTTGTCATCTTTTAAAAAATGTTTTATTGATTTTTATTTAGAGGAAGGGGGAGAGAGAGAAGGGAGGGGAGAAAGAGAGAGAAAGAGAGGCAGAGAGCGAGCGAGAGAGAGAAACACCAATTGGCTATTGGCTGTCTCTGGCACGTACCCCAACTGGGGACTGAACCTGAAACCTGGGCATGTGCACTGACCAGGAATCAAACCAGCGGCCATTCAGTGAACCAGTATCTATGAAGTTCAATGTGGCAGGCAGGGTGGATGGCGATATCAAAAAGATGCCGATGGCTTAATTTACCCCGTCTGTTTCCTGCATTGAGGTCCTCTCACCCCCATCACCGGCAACACATTTCTTGTGCCTGCTGGACATCTCTCCACCTGGAGGTGCCAAACTACAATGTTCTCCTCTCCCAACACACTCTTCCTGAATTTCCTAGATTACTTACTGCTGCCTCAATCCACCTATTTTCCTATGTGCTAAAATGTTTGGAAAATCTTATAGAACCCAGAACAAGCCTCACAGTTTTCTTTGGTGATAACAATCTCTCATATGCTCTTTTGATCCTTTATGTTCTAAAAAAATAAAGGTAAAAAACTTTTTTTTCTTTTAGTGGAGAGCCTGAATTACCTGATTTTATCCAAAAACAATTCTATAGTACTTTTATAGACAAAAGAGCTGAACTGAAAAATTAACAAACAGAAGCAAATATAATTGGAAACATATCAAATGGCCAAATCAATCTCCACGGACCAATCTATAACTGGGAATAAGAAACCATCAGACTTGAAGGTTACGGATATCTACCTCCTTAATACACCTAGAGATGACACTTTAAACTGTGAGGAGAAACTTCCAGAGTGCTGGTTGTCTCTTCCCCTCTTTCCCCCTTCTCTACTCAGCAGTTGACCCAGATCTTGATCTTCTCTGTACAATTAGTAGTTGCTGACTGCTTCTCAGATACACTGGCAATAGTCGTTTTCACATCGTCAGACACAATTATCTGGCTTCCCCTTTGGTTCTGTCAATGGGCTGGCTCATCTGAGAGTATAAATAATTACCGAGTGACAAGTGAGCTGTGATCATTGGAGTGCTGGTACTACTCCTTGCACTCTGTTTTAATTAAAGCAAATACTCTATGCAAGGGAAACGTGTCTGATGCAGAACACGAGAGTCTCCTGGGCTTTGTGTCTAAAGTCTTTGGCAGCACATCTACTCCATACTCCTAACTGTGCACATTACACTGTCAAATCCCAAAGGATTCCCTTGAGCTTTTAATAACACATGTTAAAAAAAAAAATAACACCAACTCATGTGATTCATGCAAGAGAATATCATTTTCTTCTTAAAATACAGACCTAGGAAAAATAAGGAACGCCTTCAAAAGTGTGTTCATGGTGGCAACTTGGCTGAACGCAGCGTTAATTCCGCGTGGGAGAGCATGAGTTCATTTTCATGCAAGGGGCTTTTTATAGCGACGGTTACACTTGCGCCTTGTGTCCCCATGTCCTTGTGAAGAAGGTGGAGCTGGGCCTATAGTATCAGTGAGTGCAAATAGCAATACTAGCAGATTTTGCTGAGGGGAACGCTTCTTTGTCTTGGTATAGTTATCATCTGAAATAACAATTCAGTGCCTAACCAACGGTCCACAGCTCTGAGGTTGAGGAGTTGCACTTGTGGGGCCTCCAGAGGTCAGCCTAACGTGAAGGCGAACAAAAAGGGAAAGACTCGGAGGCGCTGACAACTGGCCGAGGGAGGAATGGGAGGTGATCATGTAAGTTTTCATGGAGAGTGTGGACACGGAGGAGCGGGGAAGCTGGCTCTACAGCCAGGCCACATAGTGTTTCGGTTTGTGCTCAACAAGAACTCGGGGACCCAAACCATTGAAGGAACAGGTCGTTGATCATGTGAACGCCCTTGAAACTGATGGTACTTTTATGATTCTTTTCATACAGGCTAAAAGCCAAATGCTTTTTCCAATGTCACTTTTGGCACGTTGGATCGTTGAGTATTAAGCACCACAGATTGGTTCTCCCAGAAGTAATGGTGTTTCAATAATTCGAACTTATTTTAGGGGTAGAATGATCGGAGCCCTAAATGGCTAGCCTTGTCTCTCAGGTACAACATGGTGGGTTTTATTCTTTTTACCTGTGAACCACTGAATACTACTTCTGCAGAAGTACGGTGATTAGGATCAGACATTTCGGGGAAACGCTCTAACGAAACTCACTGCCGTGATGCTGCCTCTCACTCACCGCATATCAATCTCAGACATATTTGAAGCGCTGAGAATCTAAGAAGCGGTAATTAACAGCACACCTGATTTTCCCTTCCTGGTATAGGTCCCTGTGCCCCTGGACAATACTCTTGAGGACCACAGTGGATAAATACTTGCCTGCCTTAGTTGATGACTACCACGCAGTGAGAATTTAACAGTGTCGGCAGTCACTTAAGGTCCTGGAAAGAGAGCATTGTATCTCTCCCTTCTTTTAATGTGAGTGGAAGAACTAGCACTTGGGCAGTTCAGTAACAGTTTTTGGGTGGAAGAAAAGAAATCATTTCCTATTCCTTGCAAACTCCGTTTTACAAAAGAACGCTGGAAGCTAAAAGCCTCGCTGATTTAGCATGTGAAGCAAAGAGTAATTTTTCTCCCCTTGTTATGCTTTCATATAATCATGCTCACCGCCTGTGTGGGTGGCATTAAAGAATTCCTGAATAAAAATAATAATTTCTTGCTTTCAACCTTCATAATTCACATCAGCAAGCACCCCGCTGGGCAGTGATGCTGACTGCCAGTGACGCTCCATCTGTTTTGCCCGCCACTTATCTGCCTGGAGCAGCTGCGTGCTCCTTGGTCACAGTACCTGCAGGATAATGCGCCCATAGGCGTTCTTCAGCAGATTAACCACGTCTGCGTGCGACAGCCCATCCAGAGGTTGCCCATTGATGCTGACAATCCGATCTCCAACCTGGAAGTACAATGGTGGGAGAAAATCACTATCATTAAGAAAAATTAAATTTGAGAAGAGTGCTTGAAATTCGTTGGAAGTCATAGTCCCCATTTGTGGCCATTGTGAAGGTTCCTCTGTCTCTGGGCTGTGCACGTTCCAGCAGCATGAGGAATTTTTATGGCTTTCCTCCGACACAGGCCAATCAGAGAAACAAGAAGGGGGTCAGCTTTGATGATTAAAAGGCATAGCAGGCCACTTTTGTGTTTCGGTAATGGTGGCATTTCATACATCCATTGGCCAGGAATAGCGGACTGTACAAATGAACTGTTCAATAAAGTCCTAATGAGGAAGCCAAATATTTTCTGCTTTATTTTTCTACCTAAGTTAAAATTAAGGGGCATTGGGGAAAAATTATAACGATGTTGGCTCTTTTTATTGAAGGAAGATCCTACGGTCAAATCATTCTCAGGTAAAAATGAACTTTGGGTGGAATTAGTTGCTAAAAAAATGGTATGGGAGGCTTTGTAAATGAGCTGCAATTTCTTTTTTCATTGAGAAGCTTTGATACAAACAATAATATTTTTATATGCCCAGGGACCCAGTGAATTTTAGGTATAAACTTTCTCTAATGCATTCTGCCCTCAGCATGGGTCTCTCCAGGCTGTTGGAATTCCAACTTTAAACAAAGTGCCCATGGCTGCCACTTCCTCTCCCACCCCCCACATGCTGTTAGCACTTCACCATTCCCCCTTTGTTTACTTTAAGCTTCTGTGTGCGCGCAGCCACACCGCTGGCCTGAATCATGGCAATAAATATTGGGATATCTCCTAAGGGACTTCCTTTTCCTCCAGCAATACTGATTCCAAGGGCATCACTGGGCTCCTAGAAAAGAAGCAAAACACAACACATATTTAATAAAGAGCCGCAGCCAGAGTGTCCCATGATAGCTGCTGAACAAAACACTCAGGGCTGCAGGAGGTCAGGGTAACACAGGACTAAGTGCAGGGCCTTTGGAGTCAGAAAGACCCAGGTTTCAGCTCTAGCACTGTAGCTGGGGAGTCTTCAGTAAGTTCCTTAACCTCTTAGAGCTTCCACTTCTAGTCACAAAATGGGAAAAATACCACCTACTTCACAGTGTTGGTTTGAGGATTAAATGAAACGATATAGTGCAGTCCTGGCCCACAAAAAAAGGCTCAATAAAAGGCAACAGGGGGGTCCTGGTTGGGTAGGTCAGTTGGTTAGAGTGTTGTCCAGATACTCCAAGTTGTTGGTTCAGGTTCGATCCCAGGTCAGGGCACATTCAAGAATGCATAAATTAGTGGAATAACAAATTGATGCTTCTCTAGCTCTCTCCCCCTCCTCTCTCTCTAAAATCAACAAATAAAAATTTTCATTAATAAAAGGCAAGAGTAGCCCGGCCGGTGTGGCTCAGTGGTTGAGCGTTGTCACATGGACCAAGAAGTCCCCAGTTTGATTTCCGGCCAGGGAATATGCCTGGGTTTTGGGCTCAATCTCCAGTAAGGAATGTGCACAAAGCAGTCGATGGATATTTCTATCTCTCTCTCCCTCTCTATCTAAAAATCAAAAAACACATAAAATTTTTTTTAAAAGGCAGTAGCCTTGGCTAGTTTTCCCAGTGGTTGGAGCATTGGCCCTTGAACTCAAGGTTCTCGGGTTCGATTCCTGGTCAAGGGCACATATCTTGTTTGTGGGTTCCAACTCTCTCTCTCTTTTTCTCTCTCAAGATCAATCGAAAAAATATCCTTGGATGAGGATTAAAATAAAGAAATAGTTTATTAAAAAAAAGGCAATAGTAGTTGTGAAAAAACAAAACCTATGCTACCGCTCAGTTTAGTGGCCAATTTTGATGCAACTTGGCAAGTATGTTCTCATATGGTGTTTATAATTAAACTGCCACACATATCATGCTCCTGGGGGTGTGAACAAACAGACTTGGCTCTAAAAGAGCCGCACAACTGCGTTAAAACAAAGGATGTTAGAGGACACTCACTATAATGACAACAGAGTTTGGGGAGAGAATTAAACGTGACAGGAAATGCTCCCTAAGATATTAGGTAAGGCAATATGGTTTACTCGGACCCCGCTGAAGAGATCCTGGCTTCAGTCCAGGCTTTCCCCATATTTCTATCATAGGGTTAGCATTTTAAAAATCACTAAAGGAAGAAATGACAAGTTCCAGATTCAGCATGGTGGCATACACACGATAGCACCTGCTCCTGCTGACTGAAATGGAGAACATGTCAAAATAACAAAACACAACTACCGGGGCTTCTGAAAAGTAAAGAAACTCAAAATGTGGTGGAAAACCAACACTTGGAGGAAAGACAGCAGGGATGAAGGTCCCCGGTTCCAAAGGTTTTCCTGGCAGCGCTGTACTGAGGGGGAGACCCAGGTAGGGAGCTGCAGAAGTGGTAGACACGGCTGATGTTCAGAGAGAAACTCCCATCTTTCTGGTCAGAGGAACCAGGAAAAGGAGCCCCTGCTCACAGGAAAATAAAAGAAGAAAACCAGAGTAAAGGGAAACAGAAGAGGGATCCTCTAACTCTGAGTGAACCTGTGGAATTCTCAGGCTCAATTCTAAGCTGCACAGGTGTGAAACAGACCCAAACTACAGAACGGAACCACCGCTCACAAAAGGGGAGATGGAACTGGTAGTCCCAACCTAACCAGGTGACCACATCCTGTCCACACAGCATGACATCCATGGGGTCCAGGGTAAAATCCTAAATTACTTGACATGCCAAAAGAACAGGAAAATGTGACCAATTAAAAAAAATGATGATTGATTTTAGAGAGAGAGAGAGTAAGGGAGGGGAGACAGAAAGAGAGAAACATCAACCTGTTCCACTTATTTATGTGTTCATTGGTTGACTCATATGTCTCTTGACCGGGGATGGAACCCAAAACCTTGGTGTATTGGGATAGCATTCTAACTGAACCACCTAGCCAGGGCTTTTTTTTCTTTTTAAATTTTGGTTTTATTTAGTTATTTTGTAAAAGTTTTTTAACATTGATTTTTGAGAGAGAGAAAAACACTGATTTGTTGTTCTAGTTATTTATGCATTCATTGGTTATGTGCCCTGACCAGAGATTGAATCTACAACCTTGGTGTATCCAGATGACACTCTAACCAACTGAGCTACCTGGCCAGGGCAATATTTTTTTCTTGAGATCATTAAAATATGTAGAAAAGTTGAAAGCAAAAATTATCACATTATTTGGTGGGGTCCTCAGATTATGTAAAACACAACATATGACAACTATGGCAGAAAAGTTGTGGTAAAGGGACCTGTATGGTCCCAAAGCTTCTACAGTTTTCACTGATCATCTAAAAACAGACACAACTTAGCGTGCTTCGATTTGACCACAGTACACTTGGAAAAAGGGAAAAGAACAAAATGACAGCAAAAACCATATAAAGAACCTTACAACCTCATGTCACATAAGTGTGAGGAATTATTCTTTATTATTAACTAGAGGCCCGGTGCACGAAATTCATGCATGGGGTGGTGGTGGGGGAGGGATCCCCTCAGCCTGGCCTGTACCCTCTCGCAATCTGAGACTACTGGCTCCTAACTGTTTGCCTGCCTGCCTGCCTGCTTGCCCC